CAGGAATGCTGGTTTGGCTCTGGGTCCCGTCTACCCCTCCCGGTCTTTCCCCGAAGCTTTCGTCGAAATACCATGGCCCCTACCGTGTGGTGCGGCAAACATCTCCTGTCAACTATGAAGTTGAGCCCATTGATCCACCCTCGGACCAACGCTGCCGTGGGCGTGAAACAGTACACGTATCACGCCTCAAACCGTGCTATGACCCCCTTGTCGTGTCCTTTCCCTAGGTCGCCAGGTTGGCTCCTTTCTGCGCGGGGAGTAATTGTACCGAAGCATAGTGGCGCCAGCTCTGTGCCAGCGTGAAAGAAGACGTTGACGTCCGTGTGTGGCTCGTGCTTGCCGGGTTCCTGCCTGTACCAGCTTGTTGCGGCTAACGTTTCTGGAATAATAACCTGTGTTTTTACGCAACCTTGCTCGTTGCAATATATATATATATATATATATATATATATATATATATATATATATATATATATATATATATATATATATATATATATATATATATATATATATATATATATATATATATATATATATATATATATATATATATATATATATATTGCGACAAAAGAAATAGTGTGGGCGCATATTACACACGTCTTCTTCATTTCATACTTTATGAGCATCGCAATCCGTTTGCTTATGCACCCTTAATTTTCTTCGCGTATTGCCATCATCATTGTACATTCGCTGTGTCTGTTCGCTGCCGGCTCGATTGGGCTACATAAACGCCTGCCCAACCAAGACCTCATAATTCCATTCACGCACTCGGTTATGTTCCACAAAGGCGGAGTTCCCGGACGTCTGGTTCGTGACGTCAGGCTGGAGTGCGCGTCCATTGGTGCATACGCTTGTCTGCATCCGCCTTTGGGGAAGAAATGCCGCAGGCTTTTATTTGTATCCGACTATATATAGTAGACGAATAAAGTCGAAAAACGAAGAAAGCAGCACCAACCAGCCCAATCAAGCACCCTGTTAGACTATATATATAGATAAACCCTCTGTCGTTCTAAGGATCTATATGTCCTAAGGTCCTACATGTCGTTCTAAAGTCCTATATGTTTTGAGCCGACGTCCGTATATGCTAATACCACGACGATGCCATTAACTTTCAGTTTATTAACGGTCATCCGCATTACTTTAACGTGGGAGTCGACACCTATAGGCGCGTCAACTGCAATATACGGTTACACAAAATTACTCCCTTTAAGGTGGCACGTTAACTCGCTTGAGGATCACACGACTCTCGGAGAAAAAAAAAAGCAAAAAGGAACCCTAAAGAGAGCTGACTTGTCTCTTTAAAGAGAGTCATATACTTGGCAAGTCAGGACACTCCGAAAGGATTCACACTTACTATTTTGTTGTTGTTTTTCTTTCTTTTTTTTTTCTGAGGGTGTACGGCAACCGCGCGCATGATGCGCGCGGGTCATTTGAGCTCTGAACATGCGGCGTGATTTAGAAATCCTCCTCACTAGCTTTTAATTATCGCCGTCGACCAATCTCAGTCTCCACTGTTCATTTCTGATAAGGGGCACTTCAGATCAATAAGTGAATTAACTATCGTATATCGAGAAATTATAAACTACAGAACATGTCAGGAAAATTCGGCCACTATTTGGCCAACCATCCGATTGGTTGTCTGCCGGGACCAGAAAACAACGTAATCAACATCCCGTATAGTGTCTTATAAAGTGCGATTGTTTTCCTTTCCGATGAGCTGTGCCGCTGAGTCTGAGAGATGAGTCAGCAAGATGAGTGCAGCAAGACGTATTCGATGAAAAACTGAAACACTTCGGCTGCTGTGGCTTGTTGCGTAAAGACGCAGCGAAGCACATTAGCCGAAGCGTGGGGACTATATTCACCTGCTCCCTAGAGCGGGAATCGGAAACTGACCCATGAAAATATTTCAGTCAGAAAAAAAAATGGCAGCATATCTACGGAGTGAATGATGGAGAGTGGGGCGAAGCATTCGTCCGTCCATGCGTCCGTCTGTGTGACCGTCCATGCGTCTGTTCGTGCGCCCATCCCTGCGTTCGTTCATGCATCCGCCCCTGCGTCCGTTCATGCGTCCATCCATGCATCTGTCTGTGTGTCCGTTCATCCATATATTCAACACTCCAAGTCCCACCATCTCGCATCTTTTTTATCATATATTCCCCATATAGAAACACCGCCATTCAGTGGATATTCCAAGGACTAAACGAGAGGTGCCACACGCACACTTTCTTACGGCTTGCGCTTCGGGTCTACTTCCCACCTTCAACCACCTTGAGTTCATGGTATAAACTAGTTCACTGTATTCATGGCACTGCAGCCCAATGCTCGCTAAACCTTTCTAAAACCAAGGAGGTTACGTCCAGCGAGTATAACGTAGCAACCATTTCCTGTCAGATAGTGCTCAATGTACATGCCAGTGGCTGCTAATGTGAAATGAGAGACAGGAGGATTCAGCTTTTAATTTCTTACGGCTTGCGCTTCGTATCTGCTTTCTTCCTTTAACCACCTCGAATTCATTCATGGTATATCCTAGTTCATTGTATTCATGGCCATGCGGCTCAACGCTCGCTAAACCTTTCTAAACCTAATGAGGTTACACCCAGCGAGTATAATGTAGCAACCCTTTTCTTGTTCGATAGTGCTCAATGTACATGCCAATGGCCGCTAATGGGGATCACAGCGTGCGCGTTGACTGAAAGCCGAATGCTCCTGTCTCTCATTCCCCATTAGCAACCATTGGCATGTACATTGAGCACTATTTTTTATTGTTAAACAACGCACAGAAGAAATCTCTCACCGGCACCACCTTGGAGGTCAAATGTTATACCTATTTCGGGTATGTGCCACTGGTGGTTACGTACGAGGGACGCCCAAGCCACGCCATAAGGAGCTTCGCCCCTAAAAGAGGTTTCGTGGTACTTGCACTACCAGAAAGAGCGACCTGCTGCAAATTGGGGGACCCTAAGGCTTCGCCTCTAAGAGTTGAACGCGATAACGATATTCTCTTCCTACCTCAATCACTTAGTGCATCAAACCTTTTCGAGCTTGCTATATATCCACCCACTGCGTGACCTTGAGGAAACAGGTGCAGTAGCGTGTGCGTCTTTCGTATAGTGAGTGGGTTACCGGCTTTAAACCGCAGAGTCATTGCGATTATCACGAGTTCTGACGTCCGATTGCAATAGGCCCGCGCTTGCATCACACATTATTACTGCAATATTTCATGTTGTATTGTGAAGCATGTATACATGACGCGTGCTTTTGTTTAAAGCATGTGTCACTTTCAGTGCATTTTCAAGCAAAAGAAGTTATTTTCGATGCATTCACAAGCAGACACGTGGCCTTGTGGTATTCACTAATCGCACGCCCCCCCCCCCTCCCCAAAGAACATTCCTTATTTAGTCGCAAAGCGCCCATTTAGGTACGAAAATGTATTGTAGTGTATTATGAATTCCGTATAGACTATGTAATTTTAGACAGGTCTGCGCCGTATTTCTTGGGAGCACAAATTGTGTTATTCTAACGTACATATTACCCGCCAATGTACGGGAAAATAATTTACGTCTGTTGTAAACGTTTTTACCAGGCAATGGTAGTTTTTTCTTTCGGTGTTGTAAAATTCCACCACAGTTGTCAAACTTCGCAGTGTCGACGGTTTGAGCCGATAACGTAGAGGCCGTGGCGGTCCTCCTGTCCAATAAGATCACACGAAAATTTCCGAGTTTTCTCAGTCTGTACGGGGGGCGGCGGATGTCTGCCTAAGTCGACCAAAAGCGCCGGCTGTATCCGTTACGTCGTTGATACTCCGCTATGGAACCTTCATCTCGTCTTTTCTAGGTACACAGTAAGTAAACCCGTCGGCTTCGGGAGAGGAGGAGGGGAGTTCGAATGAGGGTGCGTTTCCCCCCTCCCTACCAAGCCACAGCAGCGCTCCTCCTCCCGCACTAATGGTATACAGGTTTGTACATCCAACGCAAAAACCTGCCGATGGTCCCGCTTCTTCTTGAGCTTCCACGTTGTCTCAATAGAAATGCGACGGACTCGAAGGCGTCTATCAGTGAGCAAATCAATCTTATCAGCGAGTGAACCGGTAATGACACATTACGTGATTGCGGGAAGTTCGTACGCAATTTTTGCCATGCGTGCGTGTGCCCACAAACGCCTGTCGTGAATGCAAATGAGATGACGTATACCGCACTGGTCATTCTCGTGGTTTTCTCCTTGTACTCGGCTGCAGATACTCCGAACGTTTCTGTGCAACGAGGTTGTACGCATAAGAGCAAAGACGTAGGTGAGACCGCATTCTAATGGCACTGTGCACTTTCGCATATAGCGTATATCACAGTGAATATGGTGAAGCGTATGACTTTGCCGCAGTGCCATTCTTGTGCACCGACACGGCATGGCGGCGAAGTCTATCATTGTGCAATGAAACATTTTAGGAGTTGGTAGGGGGCTACGTCGCGGGGCCTCGTATTCATACGCTCTTGCATGCCTATAGATACCACCACGGAGACACCTGATAACTGTATCGGAAAGCCTGGAGAACTAGTCTTAGCGTGTGTGGGACCGTCAAACTTTCTTAGGATGAAGGCACTTCACCAAAAAAAAAAAGAAATTCTCACGAGCATGAGCACCATTGCCTACATTAGTGGGGACCAGTTGTTTGACATATCCTTGTTGTATGCGTCTTAGCTCGACAAAAAACTTTTCATATACCATTTGATTCGCCAAGTAGAGGGGGTACCGTGACGTTCACTGCATGCGACGCCTTTGAACCCACTGCACGCATACACGTACTAATGTGTGCTACTCTCAGAAGATTTACGAATGCACGAAAATTGATCAAGGGCTTTGTGCAACCCATCAAACCATACTTTCCTCGTCTTTAATGTTTGTTGGCTTCATTAAGTTGCATATAACATGATGTGTATGACACCCCTTCTCAGTCAACGCAGCGGCTATATCGCTGAGCTGCGCGACGAAACAGGACGCCTTTATTGCTGCTGCTGCTGCTGCGCAACGCTCCAGAGCGTGCATCTTCGGTTCGGGTTCATGGGCGAGCCAAGCGAGCAGTTCCACAGGGTGGCGAACTCCTGCGAGTTGCGCAGCGGTTGGTTGACGCGCTGCTGCGCCTCCGGCTCGCGTCCGTCGCACAGACTGGTGGCGAGCAGCACGTGGAACAGTTGGCGCGCCGTCAGGCCCCTGCGCAGGGTGTCGCCCATGGCAACGTGGCTCTCGCGCAAGTACGCCGAGAACTGCGCCTGCGCTAGAGCGAGCGACGCGCTGTCCAGCCAGTGGCGGAGGGACGACAGTCCGTCCGGCTCCGGTCCTCCGCGCTGAGCGTCCAGGCAGCCCTGGAGCCTGTGCAGCGCGGTAGACGTGTTCAGCGACCACTCGACGCGTCCCAGAGCGTGGCTCCGCTGGTGCACCGCCTGGAGAAGACTGCGGGCCAGCCGGCTCGCGATGCGCGGCACGCCCAGGGACTGCTGGTCCGCGGGTTGTCCCAGGTCCAGCAGCGCCGCGGGTACAAACACGGAGCCGCTGGCCCAGTCCCAACGCGGCCAGGTGTCGAAGACGGAGCCCTTCCAGCGGCCTCCCAGTCGCGCCGCCAACGACGAGCGGCAGGCGTCCCGATACGCAGGTAGGAGACGCGCCACCGGAGCCCTCTGGTGGTGGCGTTGAGCCGGAGACGCCGCGTAGGGCGTGTAGGAGAAACGCACTCGCACCGCTGACAGAACATTGCGCGCGCGAGCCCTGTCGCTTGCCGACATCCACGGAAGCGAGGGTAAAGAGGCGACCATGCGTCCCTTGAGTTCCGCGGCGAGCGCCGAAAGCGACGCCAACCTGGGGTCCAGGAGAGGCGCCAACGCGGACATGTACGTTTCCTGCAGGAGGGGTTCAAGTAGGCGCAGGCAGCGCTTCCATCGCGCCCAGCCGGTGGTGGGCGCCATGGCACCCTTCAGGTGCAGCTGCCAGAGGTCGCGCAACTCTTCGCCCTGAAGCAGCGGCGACACGTGCACCATCAGGCGGAAGCCGAGGTAGTTGAGCACTTCCGAGGCCCGCGTCATCTGCAGCACCGAGCGCAGAGCGCGCAGGTACCGGTCGCTCTTGACCAGGAGCTTCGTCTGATCGTGGACCGTGACCAGGCCGCGAAGCACGAGGGAAAGCAGAGGCTTGTACGCGGCGTACGACGCCGCGGTGGTGACGCGAAACCGGCTGGCAGCGAAGTCGTCCTCCCCGCGGCTGCTCGAGATCTCGGCCAGCTTCTCGGAGAAGTCGCGCACGCCCGCGCTCGCGTTGGGCTCCCCCGAGCCGCCCACCAGGCGAAACGCGGCCGCGGCGCCGTCCGTGTACCATCGCGGCAGCCGCCGCCCCCGGTGCTGCCCGATGAGAAGGTCCGGCTCTCCCAGGGTCACCAGCGTCTGGCCGTTGCCCGTCTGCGGCCACTTGATCTCATCAATGTTCCGCTCGAAGTCATGCGGTACAACGCTATAGTGTAATATACACAGCACGAGTGCAGAAGCTATAGCTTGACGAAAGTGTTTCATGGATTTAGTTTGCTTTGTCACTGTTGCATATACGAATGCAGAGCTCATTTAAGGCTAAGTGACGTCATTTGCATTTGTTTACACTTCACATTTTCTGTATGCGCCCATTTCTATTCCATGTGTTCCTGAAAAAGGGTGTGTGTGTGTGGTGTGTGTGTGGTGTGTGTGGTGTGTGTGTGTGTGTGTGTGTGTGTGTGTGTGTGTGTGTGTGGTGTGTGTGTGTGTGTGTGTGTGTGTGTGTGTGTGTGTGGTGTGTGTGTGTGTGTGTGTGTGTGTGTGTGTGTGTGTGTGTGTGTGTGTGTGTGTGTGTGTGTATGTTCAACGAAGTTCCCTGTGTGGTGCCCTATAGTCCTCTCTGAGCTGTGGTAAATAAGCATACACTCCAAAAAACGCACCGCCGCGGCAACGACAGCCTTTGCACTCCCGTGCCACAGTAAGATGTTACTCAGAGCGCCCCACCACCATCTTTCTCGCAAGAGGAGGCAGTAGCGTTACGCCAACTACATACCAAAACATTTCCCAATCTAGTATCACTTCATATAAATTCTACCCACAGTGCTATGCAGACCGTTGTCCCGGCTGTGGAAACTCGCCCACGACCTTCCACGTCTCGGTCGAGTGCATTGCGAACATCTTTCCTCCCTTACCTGCCTTCCTTCACCCTTTACGTAACGAGTAGCTGTGGGATGATGCTCTCCGGGATGGACCTCCCGAGGCCCTCTGAGCTCTGATACAGCGGGACCGGCTCGTCGCTGGAGTCGTCCTAGGGACCCCGGACTAGAGGTTCCTCCCACGCCCTCCTTCTCCGTGCTTTTGTGAATAAACACGTTTCTCTTTCTTCCTTCTCTCCAGTGAAAATATCTATGGGAACAATAGCCTTTTTTACGGGAAAGGAGAAATACATTCATTTTGGACTGGGGCACGGGAGTGCAAAGGCTGACATTACAGCTTAGGCAATACATTTTTTTAGGGGTGAGCTCACGCCTGTTTACCACAGTCCCGGTGAGATTGCAGTGACACCCAGGGAATTAACTTTCAGTGAAAAGGTCTACAGTACTCTTCGCAAGCACATATTGTCAAGCAAACAAAACCGGTGCTACACCTGCAGCAGCTCGACGGCGAGCAGCGCGTCCAAGCCGAGGTCCCTGGTAAGCGTGGCCGCGACTCTCCACGCGTCCACGTGGTCTCGGTTGTTGCGGTACGGCCATCCGGCCAGGCCCACGTCCTCGAGCAGCTCGCGCAGCTGTCGCAGTCCGGTCCGGGTCGCCCCTTTCCAGCACAGTCCCAGAAGCGGCGGCGGCCTGGCGCGCAGCGCTTCCAGGAGGGCGCGCTCGGTGCGCGCCACCAGGAGCGCGTCGGACGCCCGCCGCCGTCGACTGCACGTGAACGCGTAGAAGTCGGCGCACGGGTCGGCCGCCCAGTCCAGGTAACCCTCGAGGTAGGACGAATGCGCCAGGCAGAAGCGCGTCAGGCACACGCTGTGTAACGGACTCGGCCGTTCTTTCTGCTGCCGCTGCTCTGGCTGCGACGGTATCTCGGTCGAACTCTCCGAGTCCTGCTTGCTGGCCGCTTCGGTGGTGGCGTTCTCGGCGGCGGGAGAGCTGGAAGGAACGGCGCTCGCACCGGAAGAAGCGGCGGCCGCAGGAGCGCGCTTGGTGACCGCTGCGAGCTGCTGCTGGCCCATCCGGTCGTTGGACCAGTTCACGTAAAGGTACAGCAGCGCCCCCGAACAGAGTAACACGACGGCGGTGCTGACGACGGCGAACACGGAGCCCGGCGCGGGACTTCCGCTCCAGCCGAGCACGCTGCTGCTGCCGCTTTTGCGCCGAGGCGCCGAAGAGACCTCGCTGCTGCTGCCGCTGCTGTACTCGGACTCTTCGCCGTAGTCGTCGTCTCGCATGCGGTACCGGAATGGTCTGCGCGGCACCAGCGTGTCCGAGGAGTCGTCGGTGACGCGCTCCTCGGACAACGAGGCGAGGCGTCGCACGGCGCGCGGCGAGTAGCGGCCGCCGCGGCGCGCCGGCTCGTCCCAGGCCAGATCGACGGCCGCCATGTTGTTGCTGCCGACAATGTTGATGATGATGCACTAGAATGGCGCGTAGACGTGTACCCACTGCGCGGAAATCGGCCATGGATTGGGCGGCAACGCCGTAGGGTATGCGCCGGGGTCTTCCCTAAAGGGGGGAAGAGGGGAGGGCAAATTTCATCACAACGCACCCCTCCCTCTACCTTGGTGCAAAAGCGCAACGAGGTCACTTTAGCGCAGTGAAGCAATGGCGTGCTTCTCAGAATGGCTCGCCTTTCCTCCTTGGCTTTCCGGGATGCGAGGAATAAACGGTTCTTGGAATGCAACATCGTGGGTCCTTGGTCGCCATAAGGTAAGTTTATTTACAGAAAGGCAGAGAGGTCGGCCTGAACGATAGCTTGCTCTAGCCTGCTACTCTACACTGGAGGAAGGGAAAGGGAAAAAGAAAGATTAATGGATGACGATGGTGAGATAGAGAGGTGAGTATGTAGTGTTCTTTCTAGTTGAGACACGTTTTATAGCCGCGCACATAGTCCAGTTGTTTCCAAAAAAGGTTATAACTGCTCTTGTGACCGCAGTTGCACATGACTTACTGCGCTATAGTTCAGTAGAAGAAATCAGTGTTTGTCGTTCACGTGCGTATGCTGGGCAGACACAAAATATGTGCTCAAGTGTTTCTGGCACATCACAGTGTTCACAATTAGGACCGGTGTCACTGCGACCGATGATATGTGCGTGATGTCTGGTGTACGCTACACCAAGACGAATGCGGTGGACCATACTTGTGAGTTGCCGTTTCAATTTAGGGGGCATGCGGAACCTTATTTCTGGGTCCCATTTGTGAAGTCGCTGGTGTCGCCGTTCCGGTTTGGTCCAGTGCTGAAGTGTGTAGCTGCGCATCACGCAGCGAAGCAGGGCGTTCGTGTCAGCTCGTGAAAACGCAATGCGTACTTCAGGGGCACCGCTTAAGGCTTTTTTAGCTTCAGCGTCTGCCTCTTCGTTTCCCATCACGCCGCAATGAGCGGGAATCCACTGGAAAGTTATAAGATGACCATTTGTTGAAGCAACCTGAATAAGTTCTGTGCTTTCTATTGCCAAGCTGTAATACGGACCTTGCTTCATGATGCAATTAATGGTTTGCAAAGCGGGTTTGGCATCACAGAAAATCGTCCAGGCTCGAGGTCGCTCTCCGGAAATAAATCTTATTGCCTCCCGGATAGCGACAAGCTCTGCGGCAGTTGATGTGGTTTTATGGTCCACTTTGAATCGTCGAGCGATATCCATGTCTGGGATGACAAAGGCTGCGACGGAGGTGTTTAGCGTGGTGGATCCGTCCGTGTACACGTGCAGAGAATCACTGTACGTTGCATAAATGTGATATAGGGTCAGTTGTCTGAGGCCAACAGAAGAAATGAGCGACTTCTTCGTAATTCCAGGTATCGTAAAAGAAACAGGTGGTTTAGGCAGGACCCATGGAGACACTGCAGGGGTATTTGGCGGAAAAAACCTTGATGGTATATTTTCATGCCGCGATATTACTCTTGAGAAATTACAATCTGGGTGAGTGGCGGGTAGTACTGACAGTGGGTGCTGTCTGTGTCTGCTCAGCAATCGGAGGTGAACTCTAAGTGGCTCGCAGAGCATGTATACACTGATGAGACAAGCCCAAGCCTCTGCGATTGTCCCATTTGTTACAGCGCTGTAGACCCAAGCATCTTCGTAAGCATTGAGCTTGAACACTCTCTAGCGTCTTCACACAACTAGGTCTCATATTGGAGAGCACCGGCATGCTTTATCGAATGTATCCCACAAATAGAGCATTGTACAATTGAAGTAGCGATGATTCTGATGGGCCCCATCTTGCTCCTGCTACGTGGCGAAGAACGAGAGCAAAGCTCTTTAATTTAGATTTAAGTACTGCGACATGCCTCGTCCACGATCTATAGATCTCTGTGTACGACAACCCCAAGGAACTTGTGGTGCGTTACAGCAGGTATCGCTGTCCCATTAATAAATATCGGGTATTGCGACACATGCTTGCGCGTGAACGCAAGCACTGCGCATTTGTCGATTGAGAGAGTGAGCCCCTGCACGTCGTAGATATTTGTATGTGATCGTCACTGCGCGCTGTAGTGGAGCTCGCAATCGCGGACGAGTAGTTCCGGATGCCCATATGCATATGTCATCAGCGTATGCAGTGATCTTCACCGTGCTGGGAAGTTCTGCTACTAGGCCGATCATTGTGACATTGAATAGGATCGGGCTGAGAACTCCTCCTTGGGGAACACCACAATGAACCTTGTATTGATCGGTGTCTCCGTTATTTGTCTTCATGTAAATGTTGCGGTCCCTAAGGTAGCTAAAATCCAAGTCGCCATTATTGTCAAAAACCTGCATCGCCATAGCCCCGAGCTTTGCACAATGACGTCACTAGTCCGAGTGTGTAAAGGTAGTGGGGCAGGCTTGGCGTGCTCTTTGGAGAAATCGGAGAATAGCGGGGGGGGGGGGGCACACCCTCCCTTTCTCTCCAGTGCACAATACGCATTTACTCGGTCCTAATAATAATAATAATAATAATAATAATAATAATAATAATAATAATAATAATAATAATAATAATAATAATAATAATAATAATAATAACATTCTTTATTCTGGCATGTGTACATAAGACAATGTTACAATCCACACCGAGATGAGGCAAAAGGAAACGGACACAACTATTTCCTGACTAAGTCTACGTTCCGCTCGTGAAAAAACGAGAACAGTCAGGTCAGCAAAAAAAAAAAACGCTCGGGACATCACAAGCGAGGCGTGGGAGGTGGGGGACTAAAGTAGCCCGACTGGAGCCTCCTTCCGCAGCGTTATATCATCGCCCGTTAATCCTCTTCCGACAAGCATGGGCGTCAGCAGGGGGTGCAAAAGGGACACTCGCCCCGTCAAGCCACACCGGCATTCGGCCCCCAACCCCAAGCTACCCCAGCGTTCTCCCCTTCCCCAGACGCAATGCAGCTGGGTCTGTGGCCTCCTTCCCTCGCCAAGGCGAAATCCCGCCCATGGTGAGTACAGTTAGGGATGGAAGGGAATTGGAAAAATAAATACTGCCTGAACAATAATCCGAGTCAGTAGTACATCTATATATGTACCTATAAATGCTGCCACCGAGCGAGTTGTGCATTCTGGGGGCTAACGAATGCCCCCGTGCCGAATTTGAATGTATACGCATTTTGTGTATGTCACGCTTACGTAAGCGTTTGATCGCCGTCGCTATTTCTGCCTCGTTGTGTAGTGCCAGTCAAGCTGCATTTGATTAAGTCTTTTTTTTTTTAATTTCGCGCAATAGTCGGCGCTATTCTATACTTACAACTGTCCATGCAACGCGAACAATGTGAAAATTGTTGTGGAATAAACTCACACTCAAACTTGGAACACCTTTTAAAAAGTGCCGGAGCGAAGGAGGAGAAGGATGAGAAGGAGGAGGAGGGGGTGATGGAGAAAAGAAATACTAAATGGAGAGCGCAGTCGCTTTGCTTGTTTCGCGTCTTACTACAGAGGCACTGCGACGTGCGCCCTACCGGGCTGCAGAAATTAGGTGCCTTCTTCCTCTTCTAACCACTACCACCACCACCACCTATTAGTCTATTACAGCGTGTTGTACGCTGCATAGTGACTCAGGAGCACACGATGTTGTGTTTGCCTGCATGCACGCTCGAAGCGGTGGCAGGGCATCCTAAGATCCGGTTGACCGGAGTGAGGTTGGCTTTCACAAGTTTTATACTAATAAAAATATTCGATAACCCTATCAAGAACTTCTCTTGTGTTTATATGTATTGTATTATTCCTTATTTCGTGAATTTAATATGAGGTAATTCACACAAGCGCGCGAAATGATTGACTTGCGTCAATCACTCCATAGTGAGATGAATTTCGAAATATCAAGTTTTGACTGGGGAACAATATTGACGAGAATAAACTGTGTCACCGAGAAATTCTCGTAGTGGCTATGGGCTGACATATCTGTTTCTGTGTCCCAGAGAAGACACCACAAAGGAAAGAATGTTTTGAAAATTCAGAGTAACTCTTAAGTATCCAGGAGAAACAAACGAAGAAGTCGTTTGGGTCATTGGCTGGGAATACTCAGACCCTCTACCAGTTGTCACGCGTGAAAAGAAGGGCTTCGGGCAAGTAATATCGCGTAGTCACAGAGACGCAGGTGATGATGATGATGAAGCTCCTTGGATCATTGGCACCTATACCCACTATGGGGGATCCGCCATGAGTCTGGCGATCATGCATACTGAGTTTATGATTAATATTTAGTAAGAGCTAAAATAAGACGCAGGTCAGTGGCGCGACAGAACAAAAAAGACTGAGCGAGAGCACGCGCTGTCCCAAACGACTTTTCCGTTTATTTCTTCTGGATTCGGGCTCGTACTCGCCACAGTTCATGGCCAGGTGGCAATATATGTCGATTTTTTTTCTGTGGCTAGTGAAACGACGGCAGGTGAGTAAAAAATGATCAGTTTTTTTCAGTCTCTTGACAGTAATAGCATGGAGAAGGTGGCGCCAGACCAAAACGTTACAAATAAATATTTAGTGTTGGTATCCGTCACTGAGATTTTGTAGTATGCACTTCCAGTTTGCAAGAGAGGCACTATTTATTACGCAAGCAAAAGAAAGATGACGACAGTGCTTGGACTAGAAATTTAATTTTCGTGAAACCGTAATGTGAAAAAAAGAAGAAACTTTTCCCAGTTCTTTCCACGTGTATATTCTGAATGGAGGAACGTTTTCCATTGCACTGTCGCCATTACATGCCCAATTTATTTCTGCAAAGTGTGACACACTACCTGACCTTTTTGTATAATTCAGGTACATTCACGCCTTACATATCACCTCCTAGAAGGGTCTTTCAGAAAATAAAAAAAATGAAAAGAAAAAACGAAAATACTCTCCTGGTACGTTGTTCCTCCCACGGTTTCTCCATGTTATCTTTCTTTATTTTTCACTTGAATTGGTTGTCGAAACTTGATGCAATGAGACAAATATTGTTATATATTTGGCAAGTAATGTGTTGCCCACGAATACTGCGTTGTCGATTCGCTTGATTATATTCAGTAACGTCGTAAAATAAACCTTACACCGTACCGCCCATCTTTACGCAGTTTTTCCAAACATTAGTTTCCTTAGAAGTGTGGCAGCTTGGGCTATAGTTGGTATGGCATGACGATAGTTATAGCGTAAAAACAAAACGACGACACAGAGACAAGAATGACTTTCGTGTCCTTCTTGTCTTTATGTCGTCGTTTTGTTTTCGCGCTATAACTATCGTCATTAGTTTTCTGTTCTGCAAGTACACGAAAGCTTTATTCATTCGCGATACATGTGCAGTCCGCTCCAATTTTAAAGGGAACATTGAACAATGCAAGTGGCAAAAGCTGCAAGAGATACAGATAGTGCCATATTTATTCACTTCGAATACTCGCGACGCCTAAATGCGTTGCAGAGAGTAATATTCTACACTTACTGTACACAACATTAAAGAAGCTTGAAGAGACGTAATAGCTACGTCTACCGATTTGAGTTTATGTATGTAAACGGCACAGGTAATCGGCTATCTGTTAACGTTGGGCGTAAAAGCGTCGCTTTCCCACCTAACGTCCCTACATGGTCATCTGCCGTGAAAGCGAAAGAGGGAAAATTCCCGCGTGATAACTTATTACGTTCTTGTGTTCCCTTCAACAAGGCACGGCATCGCCCCCCCCCCCCCCCCTTATATCCCGAAGTATCTCGCTGCCTTTCTTTGTGATAATATAAACTGATGTATATTTGCTCACCGGCGCTGGGTCCCGGCCTGCGCAGGATACTCTCGATGGAGAAGCTCAGCGGAGGCGGCCCCTGCTCCTCGCTGGTGCACTGCACCGTGGCGCTTGCCGGCGGCCGGCGCATGCTGCCGACTGACGCGCGCAAAAGAGCGCTGCCGAATTCGGGGCGGCGCGTCCCGGCCCCGCCCACCCTGAAAAACCCCGCCTCCCGCACACAAGGGTCGAAGCACTCTAATCGAGCGACAATTTTTTTATTATAGCCTGCCCAATAACGGCGGCAGAAGAATGAGCGACACGAAGTTCGCCACGGGCGTCGACAGCGTCCGCGCCGCCGACTTGCCGCTACTGTGCGATATCGGTGGGCGACACGATGCACATGCCGAACCCGTCGCACTGTCCGCGCCGGCCGTGGCAGAAGAAGTCCGAGCGCTGGACGAAGAGGCGGCCGTCCAGCGACTTGAGGCCGTGCTCGATGGCGGGCAGGCAGGCGCCGCGAGAGCCGTTGCGGCAGCAGATGTGGCACTCGTCGTTCCCGAACCGCCCTTCGTCCACGCACACGCAGTCCAGCAGGCCCCGGTCCCGGCACGGGGTGGACTGGCACTTGCCCTGTCGGCAGGTCTTCTTGGTTCCGCGGCACGGATACCCGTCGGCGCGCGCCGTCAGCGCCTGGCACACGCCCTTGTCGTCGCAGACGCCGGACGCCATGCACTCGTCGAAAGGTCGGCACGACGAGTTGGACGACGGAGCGCAGCAGCGTGGCGCCGCACTGGTCGCTGCAGCAGGCCGACGACCGCGGAGAGCACGTGGAACCGCCGGCGCGCCTCACGGTGCAAGGCAGGTCCGTCTGCGGAGGCACCAGGGCCTCGTGGAGTTGCGACCCGGAAGGTGCCGGCGAGCAGCACGGGTCTAGGGTATCGCAGGTGGCCTCCGAGCCGCAGTCGCACTCCTCTCCCGGCTCGATGATGCCGTTGCCGCAGCGCGCGCCGTCTTCGGCGAGGCAGGTGCCCTTGGCGCCCAGCACCTTGCGCATGTCGCGCACCGAGCACGGGGAGAAAGCGCGGTGATTGGGAAGCGAGCCGTCCACCGAGTACTTGACCATGATGAAGAAGCCCGACTTCCCGATCGGATGACACGCCGGATCGGCGGCCGGATCGTGAGGCGAGCCGAAGCTGTGGCCGATCTCGTGCGTCACCGTGCCGAACGAGACTCCGTGCGGCACCCGCTTGCGGTTCGACGTGCTCGTCGTGATGGAGGCGATGTTGAAGCTGTGTATGGTGTCCTGGTCGATGAAGCGCATGGGCAGCTCGCAGATGCCCCCGACGGGGCCCTCGGGGTCCGGGTTGGCCACGAACGAGATGCCCAGCGTGTTGCTCTCGAAAGGACGGTGTGAGAAGCCCACGACGAGACAGTGTCGCTGCACGTAGAAGGAGAAGCTCGCCAGGTAGTCCTTGGCCAACAGGTCTTCCTGGCCCAAGGGGTAGCCCTTACTGCTGGGCTCGGTAAATATGGTCACCTTCTCGGGGATTAGTCCGACGCGGAACGGCAGCTGGAAGTCGGTGTTGCGGAAGACCAGGTCGGCGTAGTGCAGGTGCAGGATCATCTCCTGCACCACGAGGTTGACGTTGCGGCTGCGCGACCGAAAGAACGTGTGGTCGGCCAGTAACTCGACACCGCAGACACGCAGGCCCGACGAAGCGCCGCTCGTCGAGGACCGCATCCTCTGCGCGCTCATGCGCGTCAGGAGGTCCGCGTCGGCCGACAACCTCTGCAGTTTCTTCGACGGACCGATGGCCGCGCGAGTCGTGTTCTGGAAGCAGGCACGCGCGCCGCCTTTCATGGCGACACAGTCGGGCGTCATGACCTCCATGCCGGAGTAGACGACCGCGTCGTAGTTTTGCTTTTCTAGGAAGAAGTTGTCGGCCGGCTCGACGAAATAGACGTTGTTCTCGGTGCGTATGACTCCGTCGAAGACGCCGTCCCGGAAGTAGCCCATCACTTCGGAGCGCGGGTTGTCCTCGAGTCGGCCGATGTAGAGGCTGTAGTCGGCCTCGTACGCCACTTTCGACACGCCGCTCGTGTTGTGCACAAATACCGGGATGCGGTTCACGTGGCGCGGGTCTTCGGCCAGGGACAGGTTGAAGTGCTGACCGTAGGCCATGAAGGAGACCCGGTAGCCGCCCTGGGAGTCGGCCGCCACGTCCATGGCATCTACGCTGCGGGTGGGTGGCACGCTAAACGCCTGCATGCGAACGCGCTCGAAGCGGCTCACGAAGTCGCTCAGTTCGCCGCCGCCGCGTTGCACGCACAGCGCTACGAGCAGCTGCCATGGAAGCAGCCATTGCTGCGACCGCTGGCCCCGGCCCATGTCGCGGCCCTGCCTGGCTACCTGCCTGCCCTCCTCTTCCTCCGGCCTGATGGTGGTTATGTTGGAGACGACGGTGGTGATAGCGACATCATTCGACGATGACACTAACCCACTGCGAGGGATGGATAGTGGAGCAGTGAGCGATTAGACGGCAATGTCCGAGAAAGTGCAAGTTTACCGTCCCGAGATTCTCACCGACTTCCTTTATACGGCATGGCGTAGGAATGTTAAAGCAATGTAGAAGTCATCAAGAATCGTCACCGAAGGAAGACAAATGTGGGGCCTTGCGTGATGACCCTGGGCTAGAGGCCAGCTAAAGCCATGGTAAAGCGGCCAAGATTATACCAGTGGGTGAGAACGGTTCCGTAGAATGTAACGCACGAATCTGGGTTCGCCCCTGTTCTTTTGAAAGGAAAGCATCAACAGGTTAGAAGGGACGGCTGTTACGTACGGTAGCCCTGCGTAATACCTTTAGCCCTACCCATGATGGCGTTAGGCTTGGAGTAAACTGATATGGTTAGGGTTGAAGCTTCCATCGCCTCGCGATCTTCTCACAGTAGCCGTTGCCTTTCCCGTTCCATGGTGTAAGAGTAGAGCATATTATTGAAACTGTGGCACACACCCATGCTGGGGGGATTGGCAAAGAACCGGATAGTTCCCTGTGTTGTTGACCCTTATTAACCTGTCGCAATCCGCCATGAGGGATAGGCCATGAACCAAGCAGTGGGATTTACCCAATGTCTGCGTGCCGTACTGGTTTATGATCATAATTTTCTGACAGGCCGTACACATTTACGTGGCACATACTCGTTTATTGAGCTAACTGCTGTCTCCCTCCTTTTTAGTGGACCAGTGGTGAACAGTGGGATTTATCCACTTTCTGTGGGACATACCTGATAAGCCGCTCAGGATAGGCGGCACAAATTACGGCTGTCTTGAACAGCTTCGCTGTTGAAACAACCGAGGTCTCTCATGCCGATGGAGATCTGTCAAAGCGACTCTGGCTTCCACCATAGCATGCATGTCACGCAAAGAAGCCCAGTTTCAAAAGATGCGAAAGCCGGTCGGAGGGAAAGTCGAATGTCAGGGACCGGTTGAGAAGCGATCCCCCCCCCCCCTTTAATTTTTGTTTGACCAACTTAAAAAAAATGGCACCGTATCTGCATGTTAATCTGCAAATGTCCTCAAAAGACGATAGTCTTGCGTCTAGAGAGAGTGAACAAAACGTTTATGTTCTGCGCAAGAAAATCGGTGAATGGTATTTTGGAGTCGCTGCGTTAGAGTGCCTTGAGCGTGCAGCGGAGGCGAACGAGCGCATCAAGTCACATGAGTGCTAGTCACATGAGACATGAGTGCTATCTGGCAGTTATCTTGGAAAACGAAGCGTGCGGCTCTGAGACGGGCGTGCGCGCCCGTCTCAGAGGTGATAATGCGTAGAACGCAAGGCGACGGGTAGGTGCCACCACCTTGTCGTCTTAGCAAAGCGATGGAAACACTTGCCTTTTCGTGCAACCGCAGCATGGTCAGCGCAGCGTGATAAACGCTACGGTCGTTAGAATTACTTATGTATGCCTTTTCTAGTAAAAGACACGCATACAGGATATATACGTGTTGTTATGGCGCCTCAGATATGCGCAATAATTGCTTTTCAATTGACAATCGCACAAGTATGAACGCTGAATTTTAAGCAACATTTGTGAGCGCTACGGATGGGGTCGGCCGTTTGGGGTATCGGCTGATGCCGTTTAGAGCACCCGGTATCGTTAAGAGTGTAAAAAAAAACAGACAAATGGACAGACAGACCAAAATTTTTGCGTCGAAGGTAAGACTATCGTCTTTAAAACAGCGCAAGAGAGACATTGGCAGACGAAGACAGAGGCGACAGACCACAGCTCAGAACTCGCGACCAAATTTTATTTTAAAATGAAAAAAATTCGACAGGTCCCACGTACCTTGGTAATCGACGCCATTGCAAAGCATGCACATGGAAAGTGACTGTGTTGTAATTTTTGTCTTGAGCGAAACGCGACGAGGTGCCACTAAAAAAAAATATATATATATATATATATATATATATATATATATATATATATATATATATATATATATATATATATATATATATATATATATATATATATATATATATATATATATATATATATATATATATATATATATATATATATATATATATATATATATATATATATATATATATATATATATATATATACACGCCAGGACATACGTTAAGGAGCGGCGCTAAAGATATATATAAAAACTGCCACGACATACGTTAAACAGCTGCATACGTTTTATTAAACCGGTTGTTTACAGTTGCGTAACGATGCCTACGGCAACATGGATATTAGGAACACCAGGAGCAGTAAGCTGATATAAAGAGCTGGTGCTCGCGAGGATGGTAGCCCTGGACACTGCTACATGAATCAACGTCAGCCGATGGCGCCTAACTACAATTGACATTAAGCTGACGTGACGGCTGTACCATAGGAGCACATATGTAATGCTTATAAAATTGGATAGCCAGCACTATAGCCACAATTTAAGTTTCACGAAGAGCGGGGTCTCTTTGAAAAGTAGCTCCTAAACCTGGCTTGGCTCTGTACTAGTATAGTTGATTGTCTCGCAGAATGCTAGGGCTCGATTCTTGCCAGGACCCTGCACGTTTATTATTTGCATTCGTCTGGTCAACGCTGCCAATGTCAGCTTTTCCTTAATGCTCAGCCATTTCTGTTCTCGCGGTTCCTGGGTAAAATGTCAATCACTTGACCGATGCCCGCATACCTGTGGCACATAACCGCCCGCGGGCATGTTGCCACATGTCTGGCGAAAAGGGTTTGACGACGTAAGCGACAGAATTGTGACATTATTCATGTCACGACCATCGAGACATATTCGTTTTTGCCGTCTTACCCTCTCATACTAATTTTTGTTTACCCCAAGGGAGTGATCACGAGAGCACCCTGAGATGAATAGATAGATAGATAGATAGATAGATAGATAGATAGATAGATAGATAGATAGATAGATAGACAGACAGATAGATAGATAGATAGATAGATAGATAGATAGATAGATAGATAGATAGATAGATAGATAGATAGATAGATAGATAGATAGATAGATAGATAGATAGATAGATAGATAGATAGATACTCAAAGTGCTTGCATTACAAAAAAATGATTCATAGTTAATACGTGCACACTCGTGTACTGACAGCCTGTCATCCAGTGACCACATCATATCCCACCGGAATGCACCACTTTGAAAAAAAAAAAGAAAAAAAAAGACGCATAATCACAGTGATGCATTCTGATGTCATGTTTGAGGTGGTCATTTGAGTGGCGTTGCATCTTTGGCGTTGCGAGAAAATGAAGTAGCTTCTCTTTAAACGCATTTGAATGAAGGTTGAGATTTGAATTTTCATGTTACAAAATTGAGGAATTTAATCTGTTGTGAGATGGTGTGTGCAATATGTACGGTCTTCATGCGCTGGCACATTATTTTTTCCCTTTCAAATAAACGTCAGTTGCGAATTTAAGCGCCAGTTCTGTTGTACCTGTCTTTGTCGTTTGCACTTTTCAAGTTTTCTCTAGTGGCGGAGGAGTTGACTGCCTGTTATGTGCGTTCACGCGTGTAAGTGCATACGTATATGAGCGCGAATATACATACAGCGCTCGTCTTGTGTATTCACCATGCTAGCGCTAATTTTCCAAGTATGCGTATTAATTCATACAAACTAAAAAAAAATACTTTGAGACGGCGTGGAGAGGCTGGGAGTGGCAGGTTATTACACCCATTTCTCGCTATGTGTGCAAGATTTCCGTTGCGACATCATCCTAAATCGTTAATTTTTTTTTTTTTTTTCGTTGTGATCTTCGCTTTAGCCATATTGTCGTGGCCCACGATTGAACATAGCGCGCGACCACCTCACTTGCCCATGCTTGTTCGTTTCGAAGGACGCGCGACGCGAAGCCACGTTGCAACATGTTTCGATTACGCGGACATCGCCGCGGAGTGCCGCTGCATGTCTGATCTAGATAAGGTGGTGCGTACGTAGCAATCCTCGCGCTCGCTAGTCGAGGAGGACGCTGTGGGGTCCACTTCGGGCTCTCTGAAGCCGCTCTACAGCTGCTGCAAGGAAGCGGTAGTAGCGACCTTCTCTCCCAACATGTTCCTCTCTCTCATCTAAATCTAGAACAGGCCGGCGTTTCGTAGCGGCGGTGGCTGCGGGTGTTGCCCGTGTCTGCCAAGAACGATGTTGTGGTTGGCGTGTTTAGCAGCCACGCCTGCCGCTCTCTTGCTCACCCTGTTCGCCTACAACCGGCTGTCCACGAGAAAATGTAGGTGCACGGCTGACTTGGACGGAAAGACGGTGGTCGTCACGGGAGCCAACACCGGTGAGAGTCGTGCTTCTTCTTGGCGCGGTCTCGTGTCCTCGACGGCGGCGGCGGCTCGGGGTGGTGCCTGCGCGTGCTGCACGCCGCCTACGTCAGCGCGCGCGCTCATTTAAATGCGTTAGAGTTCTTATTTGATCCGGTAGGTACGTACAGGGCTCAACTCGCATGTCTGTAACCATAGAGTTTCCCACAATACCAACTAGAGGGAACTCTGGCACTAGTGTCTATGGCAGCTGCAACGCACGGCGCTTCAACGAGCATGGGAATGATGGGTAGTACACACATTTGTCTAATTTTCGTACTTCTGGCCTGCTTCTGGCACCGTGTGTGTTCGTGTGGCTTAGAGCTGTTTTTTCACGAAAACATAAATTAGCAAATGTTCACCGTTTGCGCTTCACAACCTTATTCTTTTAAGCTTACTATTTCGAATGAAGTCCCCAAGTTCAAAAGGGTTCGTTCTTTCTTTCAAAACAAAACCGAAACACAGCAACAAACAAAGCCGCAAGTACGATTCGCCGCCCGCAAGTACGAAGACTAGGCAAATGTGTGTACTACCCATCATTCCCATTGTCGCTGAACGATCGCAGCGCCAGAGTGCCCTCTAGTTAATTTTGAGAAACTCTACGTCTGTAACGACGGAGCGTCGCGCGCGCGGAACAGCGCGGGTGACATCTGCAGTCGCAAAAACGCCACATCTGAGCATGCGTCCGGGCGCTAGTGATGTACCCTGCCTTGCAATACTGATCCCTGTTTATCACCGCGGATGCAACAACCGGCTTTGGCCACCGAAAGCACTCTGAACGATTTTGCGAAATAACAAAAAGCAAGCAAAAAAAAAAAAAGAACGAGGTGAATCGTTCTCGCTGTGATATGCACTCGCGAAGCGAGAATAAGTTCAGAGTTTAAAAAGGGGCATATCCGGGCCATTTGTGTTCTTTTTTTTTTTTTCGTTCGGTTCTATAATGTTGACAGCGCTTCGACGGCTAAAGCAGTCATCGCGGCCGGGGAGATAAAGAAGGGTGGAAACTGCAAGACAGGCACATCACTGGCGCCGCGCATGCTCAGATGTGGCGTATTTGCGTCTACCGATGTCGTCGTTATAGACATGCAAGTTGAGCACTGTACATGTCCGGATTAAAGAGAACTGAGACTGGAGACCGGTGAGTGAGTGGGACGTAAAGAAAACGGGAGTACCTATGGGGGGCTAGTGAACGTACGAATGTGATAAGGTATACCGACGAGTTCATTACGATATTATAAAATGTAACTGGACAAGACATGGGAAAGTACTTAGAACGTCCAAATCGTATATCCTGGCTGATGGAGCACAAGTGCAATATTACGGAATATCGGAGCAAGATGAGCAGGTGTGTAAATTCTACTTATTTTTTGTTTAAGCTATCGCTCAGTGGAGTCAACCGTCCTGTGAACTATAGCGCATTGTCAATTAAAAATTGTTTACTTTTTTTTTCATGGTTGGAAGCCCTCTGCTGCAGTGCCTTCGGGTCATTTGGGGAAAATGTCTAAGAATAAAAGCTGTATAAGTGATCGTGCGAGTTTTGTTGCTCTCCTTAAAGGGTGTGCAATACACTCATCTACATGCCTTACTATAATTATACTCCTGCAGTGAGTGTAAGTGTTATTGTACTCCTAAGAGTAAGTGTGATATACACTCAAAGTTCTTGCTCTAATTATTTTCTACAAAGAGTGCGAGGGCTATTATACTTTCCTGGATCTATTACGCCTTCCTGCATCCCTGCTGGACGAACCCACTCGTCGTGAGTTCTTTTCCCTCCCCCCTCTTCCTCCCCCTCCCCTGTGTAAAAAAAAAAAAAACTCAGGCGCCGCTCCTGGTGCGTGAATGAGAATGAGTACCATCGAGCATAGAGTTTCTTAATATACACTAGAGGGAACTCTGGCGCTAGTGTCTATGGGAGCTGCAACACACGGCGCTTCAGCGAGCATGGGAATGATGGGTAGTACACACATTTGTCTAAACTTCGTACTTCTGGCCTGCTTTTGACTCCGTGTGTGTTCGTGTGGCTTGAAGCTGTTTTCTCATGAAACGAAAATCGGCAAATGTTCAGCGATTGCGCTTCACCAGCCCTATTTTTTTAATTACCTTTTCGAATTGCGGTCGCGAAGTTTAAAAGGGTTCAATCTTCGTATTCAAAACAAAACCGAAACACAGCAATAAACGAAGCCGCAAGTACGATTCGCCGCCCGCAATGTACGAAGACTAGGCAAATGTGTGTACTATCCCATCATTCCCATGATCGCTGAACGATCGCAGCGCCAGAGAGAGAGAGAAACGTTTATTCAAGCATCCGGCGTGCGGGAAGTCACCGGCCACGCAGGGCGCGGGTATTCCCCCATGGACAAATGGATAGATATGGCTGTACCCTTCAGATCGGGCGGTGGCTAGCGCCACCAAGCCGTAATACTTAATGAACTCAAAACTACATTTATTTTTTCTTCCTTAAAAAGTGAGTTTGAGCATTCGTACTTTGCAGTGAAGAGTTTAATTTTCACTCGTGCCTTGACTTTAGCCACCAATCAGATAACCTCCTTCTAGTTAAGTCTACTTGCTTAAAGTCTATTTTGCCCTCCCGGTCCCTAAACCCCAGTGCTTTGAAAAACTCTGCGCCATCATCCTGAACTATAGGGTGCAGCCCTTTACAGAACATTATCAAGTGTTCGGCAGTTTCTTCTTCCTCTCCACACGCACTGCATACTGTGTCTACCCCTTCGTATTTGGCCCGATATGTCTTGGTTCGCAGTACTCCCGTCCTTGCGTCAAACAGTAGAGAACTACCCCGAGTATTATCATAGATCCTTTCCTTGGCAATTTCCTGCTTAAAAGTTCGATAGATCTCTAGTGCGGACTTCCTAATCATGCCCATTTTCCACATGTCAGTCTCCGTTTCCTTCACTTTCTTCTTAACCGATCGTTCTTTTTGGTTTGGCCACCTGCTGAAGACTATTGAGTGCCCTCTAGTTAATTTTGAGAAACCCTATGCCATTGAGTGAGTACTCACGTGACGCAGGCATCGGTTACGAGACGGCCCGCGAGCTGGCGCTGCGCGGCGCACGGGTCGTGCTGGGTTGCCGCAGCGAGGAGCGCGCGCGGCACGCGGTCGAGCGGCTGGCCTCCGAGACGCGCAGCACGAACGTCGCCTGGCTGCCGCTCGACACGTCCAGCCCGGACTCGGTGCGCGCTTTCGTCGAGCGCCTGTTGCCCCTCGCGCGGGGCCGCGTGCACGTGCTGGTCAACAACGCGGCCGCTTCGGCGCCCACCGACGGCCGTCGACTGACCGCCGACGGACACGAGCTGACGTGGGCCACGAACTACCTGGGCCACTACTTGCTGACGAGGCTGCTGCTACGTGAGCTGTTTAAGTTTACCCTCAGAGAAGAAGAACGGCTATTTGGGCTGGTTGGTTTGAATTCATGGTAATAAGGGCTGCAGTTGGTAGTCAGCGCTCGTGTTGTCCTCTTTGCTTTCTTTGTCTCGCCTTTCGTCTATTTCTTCTAGCACCTTCGTGCTCGCGCTGCAGCCCTTATTACCCTCAAAGGTCTCAACCTGAAGTCGCTGATAAAAGGGTGACGCCATGTTTTGCGCATTTTTTTCGAAGGTGACCGGAAGGCGAACGCCATTTTATTCAGTATAGGGTGCGCATTTGGACCGGTTCGCTCGCGATTACTAGTAAAAACAAAACAAAAAGGAAGCAGTTCAGCGCAGCTAGACAGCCTTCTTTCTTTCTTCTTTTATTATTTTCTTTTCCCTGTTATTCTTTCTTTCCTTTTTTCTTTCTTTTTGTTCTTTCCTCTTTTTTGTTTCTTGTTTTACTTCTCTTGTGTATGTTTATTTCTGTACATTTCTATTTATTTCTGTCTCTTTCTCTGTCTTTGTATCTTTCTTTCTATCTTTTTCGCTTCTTTCTTTCTTTCGTTCATTGTTATCCGTCTATCTTTTTATGTTTTCATTTTCTCTAATTATCTCCATTTTTCTCTTCTTTCTCTCTGTCTCTTTTGACACATCAGGAGCAAGAGGTGGAAACAAACGCATTAAAGTGATAGAGAAAACAGATAGCGAGCCTGAAAGAGCAAGCGAAAAAGAATCAAAGCAAGGAAAAGAGCGAAAATAGAAGCAGAAAGAGAGAGAGAGAGAGAGAAATATGAAAATGAAGAAAGAGGAGGAGAGAAATGAAGCATACCATAGCCACGTGTAGTACAGTACAGCTAGAAAGTGGGAAAAGGAGGTGACGGTGAGAAATAGGAAGGGATATTGAAACATATGATTGCTCTATATATTATAATACATAATCGTTTGGAAATCAAAGCGAGGAAGAGGGGAAAAAGGAGGAAAATGCCACCAGCTTGACTTATTCGCCAGTCTTCGCACCACGTACTGTCCAGCCGCCCCAATTTTTCTGCTTGTCGGGGTTCTTTTTCTTTTCAGTATTGACCCCCCTCCCCCCACTTTTCAAAAGCTTTCTGCACTCTACTTGGTTTCGCATTGCCACCGAAACCAGAGAAACAAAAGAAGCAAATAATGGTAAATTACAATCTGAGATAAATAAGTGAACTATAAGTACTAAATGTTTCTGTAAACAACGGGCTGAGGTTTTGTGCACCGAGTGTATGTGCCGTGATATCGGTAGCACGTTCTTCCCTTATCTTTTTTTTTTTTCCTTCAAAATGTTACGCTGTCCATACTTGTGAAGTTGATAGATAGGCCCTCTCCAGCTGTGATACGCAATGAACCGCTGATTGTTTCATTTCTCGTCTTCCTTTATAAAGTGTTTACACTCCTCCCCCAAAATAAAGCATAGTCGGAACAGGACGCGTCAGTACGTCACCTTCCAGCACACTTGCCACCCCCTGTCTTTACGGAACTTGCCCATCGTCCCCTGTACATGAATCCCAGCGACCCCACCCCCTTTTCCGCTACAGATATCTTCGTGTAATCCATGGATCACTAAAGTACAAAAAAGACAACAAAAATAGTCAGTACTTCCCAGTTATCTTTAAGGAATGCTCCTTGATCGCCTGAAGTAGCACGCAATATGTGTGTTAATTTTTTGTTCGTTCTTCAACCTAACACAGCAACGCTGCGGGAATGCGCGCCCTCTCGCGTCATCAATCTGACGTCGGTGGTGCAGCAGCTGGCACTGCATCGACTGGGCCGACGTGCAGGGCCTTCGCAGCAGTACATGGTCGCCCAGCCGCGCGTACTGCAACTCCAAGAGGGCCATGCTGCTCTTCTCCGCCGAGCTGGCGCGACGCCTGAAGAACACCGGTATAATCCCTTCGTTCGTTTGAAATGTGGAGGAAGGAAAACGAGGATAGGAGAGGGCGTGCAGTGATATGTGTAAAGCCCACTCGCCCTCGAAAAAAAAAAAGAAAAAAAAAACTCGGTGGTTATGTAGCTTTGAACGCGAGGAAAATTCCTTAGCGCCACCCTTTATTATCCTTCGGTTACGTTATAGTGTACTAGAATATGGGGTTCTAGTACACTATAGTTACGTTTATAGCCACAAACCGAGAACGATGGCTGTGGGCCAAGCTGTGTAAAGGGGAGGGGGCTGAAGCTTCTCAAAATTTCCGCCTGCTCGCCTTCCCCCTCCCCCCCCCTGTTCTCACCCAAGTTCAAGCATAGTCAAAACGCAACACATATGTTTTCTGTCTCGCTGAAAAAACTCGCTTTTCGTGGGTGCCACCAGCAAATAAAATCCTGGTTCGATGTTGTCCACAATAATATCCAAACGAATTCACGTTATCCGGCACTGAGATCCGGCTATAGTTGGTTCTGATGTAAAGGTTCTGAAAGCGCTAAGGAACACGTAACAACGCAGTGCTGTGTTCTTTCGTGGTTTGTGTTTCATTCGCGCTTTCTGAAGCTATGAAGTCACCTTGTCTGGAGCACAGGCCCAGCTCCCTTGGCTGTACAGGATTTAGCAAAGCCTATCGTATTATTGCGCATACTGCGAGCACAACGAAATGATCACCGGCGTTGGATATTATCTCCTGTCATGCCAATGTAAATGAGACATTGGCCGCGTTCAGTTAGGGAGCTCTAGCGCGTTCTATAGCCGGCGGTGTGCGCTCATCTAAATATAAAGGCTTAAAAGTGTTTTCTGGTGCGTGATGACGGAGTGCAACGTTAAGACGCTCAGAAAGTTACCTGCACATTGAATGCCCCGCACTCCTTTAATCAAATTCCTTATTCGGCCACCCATTTCTCCAGTAGAGAGAAGCTAAAGGGATGATGGAGATTTGGCTTGCAGAGGCTTACTGCGTAAAGCATTAGCGTAGTCTTTTTTTCGAGGAGGGGTGGGGGGGGGGGGGTCAACCATACTTTATGTTTGTTCGTGCGAGCATTTGCATGTGTGCGTGTACAATGTATATGTAAGCAAAATGGCAAATGTGGGGGGAGGGATGTTGAACCCCACTCCTCCAACCGCCCACTCCTTGGCTAAGCCTATGTTGTAAAGCATAAAGTTCCCGCCGTTATAGTTTTTGAATGTTATGTTATGGTTATAAAGTAGTGACATATTCTCCGCAGGTGTTAGCGCATGCGCGGTACATCCAGGAGTGGTGAACACGCGCGTTTCCCGAGGCCTAACGCGCGTGGGACAACCTTGGTTCGGCTTGCTGTCCACATTGTTCGGAATTAAGGTACGTACGTACACGGATACGGCACATGCCGCCTACTGATGAACGCGGGCATGTCGCGTACACTGTTGCATGTCGCAAACGCAAGACTACGCACAGATTGGTGCATGCAGAGTGCACTATTGCATGCTGCACGCTTGGCTATACTCATCGAAACGAGCATGCCGCATACGCGAGGCTACAAAGGCTACACATCGATCGGCTGCATGCCATGTACAGACAGATTTATTGTTAAAGGTAACAGCTGCGTGCACAACACGTATGGTTTTCGTCGCTATCTTGCAGAAGCATAGTGGCTTAGATTTGTAAAAGACGACTGGTGGTTGACAGTTCTGACTCCTCTTGACAGACTAGTGACGTGCATGAAGATTGTCTTCTTGTTGCGTTTAGAGAAAGTGGTTAAAAATTTAAAGTACAGAGTACTCTACTATGAGAGAGCATAAAGCCATCCCATTAGAGGGGCACTCCAACACTTTTGAAGCACCCATTTTTTGTATGTGTTTTGCGTAGACCGATGGCCGGGGATAATTTTAGCAAAGGTCCAAGCGCCGATATCAAAAATTTAGTATTTTAATCGTGCAATAAAGTCACCTCATTGCTGCCGACTGCGTCAGCGCACAGTGGCACTCACTAGAACTACGCAAGCGGAAATGACGAGAATGAGTGCAGCCTGTCACAGGACGCGTAAAGCCTCGCTCCGAAGCAAAAGGACCTGCTTGAGTTCTGACAAGTCGGGGAGGCTAATTTCTGCCAGCTTCACCCAGCTGTTTGACCGCGTAAACAAAACGGCGTGGTCAGGCACCATGTTGCCTGTTGCTATAGCAACAACGTCATAAACACATTTGACTAAACAGGCAACACTGGTGTACGAGCTTCCTCTACGTAAGAGCTTTCAGCCCATGTCATGGAGGCCCCATGCAACGTCACACTAGAAAGTAAACTGTGGTCATGTCACCCCACGAAATTCGAGTTGAGGGTAGGCATTTTTTCTTGTATTTTTAATTTTTTAAATTGAATAACTTCGACTGCGTGCCGCTATCGCTGCCGTTCTTGCTGCACTAATTTGTCCGTGCGTCAGTCTATGCAGTCCACGAGTAAAAATTGGGGGGGGGGGGGGTTGAAAAGTGTTAGAGGGCCCCTTTAATGCTTGTGTCTAACCATTGTAGTGTACACGTATATATGACGAAGCAGTCCGGCCACTTGCGTGGGTTCGGTCTTAGCGAGCCCCAGGGCACGCGTTAACCGTCGCCGTTGCGAAAACACGGTACTGCTCAAGGCCGCAACACCTTACTGTCTGCGGCAACACTGGCGACACCAAAACGCTATACAGAGGCCGTTGCAAAAGGCGCGGCGGGAAAGCAAATTAGCTTATCCACGCCATGGGCGAGAAGTACTACACAGGGGTGCAGTCTCCGTGGCATGGTGTTAGATATAACCCATGCTCCGTGGTAAAAGTGATTCACGGGGACACCCGTACAAAGGGCCCGGTTGCTCGAGCGAGGGCAAAGGCGCTCGCGTTGTTTTCGGAGAGATACCGGTCGGCCTAGTCTGGCCACGCACAAGGACACCGCACCGCTCTTCGGTCTAGCGTTTGGAAGGGCGGGGAGCGAGTAAAGGTAAGCGTTCGCCGCGGGCGCAAGGCGCTGTTGGCGAAGTCCGAACGAGCCTCAAACGAAGGGAGCCGACGGACGGAAAATAAATGGTGGTGGTGGTAGTGGTTAGAAGATGAGAAAAGGCACCTAATTTCTGCAACCCGGTCGGGAGCACGGCGCAGTGCCTAAAAAAAATAAATGCGTGCTTACCCCATGTTGTCCCCGGAGAGGTTCTCTCTCACTCCCGACGCGCGCGCTCGAAACGTCCCGAGAGAATCCGCGCACGGCGCCACAGTCGACATCCGCTACCGGGTGAGAGGGGTTAAACGTCACTCCCCGCTCTTCCAGCGCGGCAGACTACGGATGAGGGGGGTCATGTCGGGACACGAGAACGGAGAAAAAGACGGCAAAGCCTATGCAATGTCAGCGGGCTAGCCTCGATTACCACACCATTGAGCCTATGGTGTTAGAGAGACGGCGATACTTATGGTGTTCATTCGAGTGTTCCCTTTAACAGTGGACCGTACTGCATGGTGCACGCTGCACACACATGGTGTACAGGTTATCGTGCACACATTGTTTTACTTCTTTGCGGCAACCTTTTGTTTTACGAGATTATATATAATCGTTTATTTCTTTCTCAACCTGAAGCGTTCGTATAAACCGTTATTGTAAATGTATTTAACATTTAGGCCGACTGCAGGATGTTGAAGTAATCTTGTATTGATCATGTGCACCTTGCGTGAACGTCATTTCGGATTCACGAAAATGTTTTAGAACGAGCGGTGAATCTGGAATGTATGGTGTGCCTTTACACGTGCACCAAGCTGCGCGCTTCAAGGCACCCTACTGGAATGTGGTACGATGGTACATATACATTACAAATGACAAATGGACACTTTACTCACCAGTACAAACTAAACGTCCACGTCCGGCAGCTGCGTGCTTGCCGTTAGTATTGCCATCGGAGTACTGCTTATCGAACACGAAACTAGGCCTAAAACAAAATTTTGAACTTGAAGTTTGTGGCGTATCGATATTGCGAGCGAGCGCCACGCTCTTGGAGTGAACGGACACAGCAGACGCGGTCAATACAAACTAAACAACACATATTTATTTACTTAATTTAGAACAACAATATCGTCCGCCGTATCGATACATCAATCATTATCAACACGCTAGGACATTCTTACACAATATTACCATACACTCCATGACAAACACAATAACACGACAAACACACAATAACATGACAGACACAATAACACACCCAAGGCGGCGTCGCCAACGCTTGACTTACCACGAGGGCCCCGGACGCGCAAACCCGCGGTGCCACGCACCGGGGACTCACGCTAGAGACAACCGTTCGCGGCAAGTTTCAACAGCTGCATTTTCATAAACCCCACAAATGCAGGACGAGTCGGCTTGTCATGATAAAATTTGTTAGCGGGTTCGGATTAGCGATTGTTAGAGCGTCGAGTCGATCCAATTTCAAGGGTCGGTTTTGGCTCTCATGATTTGCTTGAAAAGATAAACGGTACGGGAAAGACAGGGACATACATTAACACGACTTTGTGCAGCTTCCCACCCCGCATATGGTGCGAGTGAGAAAGAGTACAGAGGCATCTAATAAATATGGTCGGGCTGGGTCAGCTTAACTTCAGCTTAACTTCAGAGTTGAGGCTCGACCCGGTCACGTCGAGTTGAACTTTTGGCTTGACCCTGTCGCATCGGCTGATGCTCTGGCTTGACCGGGCAGAGTCTATAGTGAACGTCTGGCTTGACCCAGCTGAGTCGAGTTGAACTTATAACTCGACCCGGTCTAGTCGATTTGTACTTCTGAGCTTAACACGGTAGAGTCGAGCGAACCTCTGGTTTGACCCACTTGCAATGAGTCGAGTTCAACTTCTGACTCGACCTGGTCGGGTCGATTTTCACTTTTTTTTGCGTAAGGTGGTGTTCTGGCTTCACGTTGTCGCGTCGAGTAGAACATCTCGGTCGAGTCGAGTTGAACTGCCTTTCCCCGGTCACTTCCAGTTTGTTGAAACGCGAAGCTCGAGCTTGTTCTTTTTTTATACTGAGAATGGGTGGGGGGTTAATTTGTTGTGACTATGTATTGCAGAGCGCGCGCGAGGCTTGCCAGACTACCGTGCACGCGGTGTTGGCGCCGGACCCATGCAGCGGCTGGTACCTGTCCGAATGCCGCGCTCAGTGGCCTGCCATTCGCTGCCCCGAGGACGAGAGGGACGCAGGCCGCTTGTGGACAATCAGCGAGCTGTCCTTCCCAACATTGCCGCCAGTGGCGTTTTGATCCAGTGTCGGTGTACACACTCGTTGTATACACTGTACCGTCTGGACAAAGCATGTCATGTCGTCGGACCCTTTCTATGCACCAGTGTGTACAACAGTGTTCTCAAGGAGTGATGTTATGTCACGTGCAGTTACTTCACGTGCGGTGTCCGGATGCTACGAAGATGGACGGTTGGTGACGCCACAATGAACGTCCAGCGACAACGCACTTCGCCGGTTCCCGTGAATCGGTGGACCCGTCCAAGCCTTGCCGAGAAACAACTGCGCCGATCCCGCCCTTAGCGCGTCACCGGACGTGGTAACTTCGTGTAGGCATGTTCCCGAGAACCCTGTGCGCGGCGCTTCCTCGAATTGGGGCTCCTAGTTCGGCGAAGTCAAGTTTCGGGAATCGAGTGATAGACCATTTAATTGCAGCGGTACATATATTAGAGGCGAAGCGCCTTGAGATGTCGGCTTTTTGGCGTGCCATGTTGTCGTCACAGTCCATCATAAACGGGTATGGGCCGCATAAATGGGTAAGTCCCACTACTTGTCTCCTGTCGGTACTACGAATAATTATGGGTTAAAGGTTCGTCTTTACTACCTAAAACATTATGTTTGGCTTAGCAGTGGTATCAGAATCCCCGAAAACTTTGATAAAGGCGTTCAAGTTTATTAAAAGACACAAATGTGCGTCTATGCGGTAAAATGTATTTTAAGCAACGCTTCTTGAAACATATCTTAGGAGTGATAGTGCGTGACCGGTGGCGAGTAAAGCAGTGAAAAGTGAAGATTTTCAGGTTCAATGTTCCTATACACGACCCTTGGCTACAATCTGGTTGAATTCATACAGCACTCGGTATATAGCGTATGGGCATTCGGACAATAAAGAAGGCAAAAACTCCGGGCCAGTTTGTGCAGTGTTTCACTTTTTCTTGTAGATTATTCGTTATTTGGGCAATTTTCCTATATATATATACATATACACGCTATCATCATCATCATTTTCATCATCGTAATCATCAGTGTGTGTAGTACAGTTTGTTATCGGAAATCTCATTACTATTACTACCACTGCATTACTAGATTTAGTGTATATGCCTTTAGTCCTCATTCGAGCATTTCATTGTTTTCGTGCGAGTGGGCTCTCCATTCCTGAAAATTAAATGTGAAAGAAATCGTTCTTATTTGTAATGTGTTTAATCACGTTTGCTTTTTGCGTGGTTATCTGATTTGCATAGCTTCAGCCGTTCCTGAAAAGCTGCGAGCTCCCATTGTATGTGGTGTGCTGAACACTATTATTCTCCGGCAATGAGGTCTACACCACTCCCACACCCCTTGCAGAAAATGACTCGCAGCAGGGATGATGATGTCTGGACTCTTACAGATGGGTAGAAACTTCGCTTTAATCTAACGAAATCGATCCGGACGTCTACACTAGCAGATGGTACCCCCACTGCGGTGAGGTAGCGAATTTGGAGCGCACGCTCTAGCGGCGCCGCACTTCGCTGCTGGGCTGCGTTCAAACTGACCTGGCCAAGTGGCGCTCCGCCATCAGAAGCACCAACAACCGGGAGTAGCTTCATGCCATCTAGAGAGCTCACGATGCGGTGGTCAGGCATAGAGTTTCTCAAAATTAACTAGAGGGCACTCTGGCGCTGCGATCGTTCAGCGACCATGGGAATGATGGGTAGTACACACATTTGCCTAGTCTTCGTACTTGCGGGCGGCGAATCGTACTTGCGGCTTTGTTTATTGCTGTGTTTCGGTTTTGTTTTGAAAGAAAGAACGAACACTTTTGAACTTGGGGCCTTGCTTCGAAATAGTAAGCTCAAAAGAATAAAGTTGTGAAGCGCAAACGGTGAACATTTGCCGATTTATGTTTTCGTGAAAAAAAATGCCGCCATATCCACGAAGTGAATGATGATGAGTGGGCGAAGCTCCGGAGGTAAACCTGGTAAACCATGAATCCTCCGTACATTTTGCCCACTCGATTTTATTGCAACGCTCCCCCTAGCGTACGTCGCCGCACTATATCGAACGATGACACGCGCCATATGTGGCATCATTCCTATTTTATAACACCTCGCATCTTTCATAATCAACTACACGTACCGCCGTCTAGTTTATAACATCTTGCATCTTTTGGACGGACGGACGGACGGATGGATATGGCTGTACCCTTTAGATCGGGCGGTGGCTAGCGTAATACTTAGAACTGAACGAGAGGTGGCTACATACAGGGGACGCACAGCCCACGCCTTAAGGAGCTTCGCTCCTAAAAACAGCTCCAAGCCGCACGAACACACACGGAGCCAGAAGCAGGCCAGAAGTACGAAAATTAGACAAATGTGTGTACTACCCATCATTCCCATGCTCGTTGAATTGTCATGCGTTGCAGCTCCCATAGACACTAGCGCCAGAGTTCCCTCTAGTTAGTATTGTGGGAAACTCTATGTGGTCAAGCACGTGCGCGAGGAACCCACAGCGTGCTATAGTCGCGTCTTTCAGGACTGTTAATAAAGGTCCTAAATAAAGACTGGCCAGCCAACCTGAAGACAACGCATGATATCAAACATGGCTTGCCGAATGACAATGTCGGTAACACTATACAGGAACTATATAGATTTCAAATACGCGCGTAAAAATTAGAATACCTACACGATGAATAACGCCAAACGCGGGTGTACCATAGAGAAATAAAGAAAGGTGGGTGTACGCTATGAACAGCGGGCGCGCTACTAATTCCATGAAAGGATCCCTTGTATTCTCCGGGCCTTCCGGTGTCACCGGCGTTGGCCGCGACGCCACCATTCGCGTTCGGTTATGTCATCTAGAAAAAAAAAAAAAAGCCGGGCCTGCGTTGAACGCGCAGCAAGCGAAAGCTTGAAGAGCAGCCTTTCAGACCCTTTTCTAAGTATTCTTTGGGTAACTGCTATAAGCACAGTTACTGGGTACCCGCTACGCCATAAATAATTATGCTTTTAGCAGGCCGGCATTCACTATGCCATCCTTCGTCATTCTTCGGATAAGCGCATCCGCTACACACAGGAAATTTTGTTCAATTTTTTTATGCAGTAGATGACGGCGATGAAGTATTGTGCCTAAAGTGGTTATACGCCACAGTTAATGTGCGATCAAGAACAAACTTTGGAATGGATTGGAGCATTGGACGACCCACTCGTTCCGCAATTCGCATTGTGTGACGCCTGGTTGTTGCTTTGCAGTTCTAAAGCGCTTCCCTTTTCCCGACATCAAGCCTGCCTAAGGCAAGTTTACAGCAGAGTTTCAAGCACCGGTGTTGCTCTTCGGTAGCATACTGGGTTGGCACGCAGAGGACCCGGGCTCGAATCTCGCTTTCTCCTTGCTTTATATTTTGTACAATAGCGGTTACGGGCGGCAACGGACATATACGGTGCCGCACGCGTGACCCTTGTTGTGATCTCATAACAGCTTTTGCTGTAAAAGAACGTGTTTGTCTGTTCGCCGGCAAGCACACTCGCTGCTATCTTCTCGAAGTGACGAGGAGCAATGGACTGTATAGGAGGAGGCGTACGTCGAAGTCCTGAGGGAAGCGAGAGCCGCTTTTGGATGATCGAACGCTCGTAACTCCGCTATTATATACGGCCTCGCTGCAAAAAAAATGCTCGCGGCGAAGCGTTTGTTGAAGACTCGTGCATCATTGGAACACCACGGCTAAATTTCGACCTCGGGGCATGGTTACGGGGCGCATTATGACGCTCGCTAAATGCACGAACGCATTAGCCACCTAAATGATAAAGAGGACTCCATGGGATGTTAATATTTATTTATTTATTTATTTATTTATTTATTTATTTATACTGTCAATCCCAGAAAGATTAAAACAGATGGACAATCTAAGGCAGTGATTAAGTACAGTCAATAGAAAGAGAAAAAAGTAATAAGAAAAAATTAACAAAACAACAACAAAAAAGAAAGCATGTAAGCACATTTGTCAAAGTACAATCATATTGACACTTTACTTAAGTAACAAGAAAGATCGCATAGCACCACATTATGTTTGCGAGGCTATCAAGTCGCTTTCTACCAGTTTGGAGAAAGTGGCTAAGGATGTGCTATACTGGTAAGGGAGGGGGACAGGTTATTCCATTCTCTGATCGCAAGCGGGAAGAACGACAATTTGAAGGCATCTGTGCGAAATCTGTAAGGGGCAAGGGTACTGAGAGTATTTGTGGCGGGTAGTTCTATAGCTGCGGATAGCTTTGATGTAGCGGGACTCTGTCTATGTTTAGGCTCTGAACAGTGGCCTTATTTATTGGTAAGCGCCTCAGTATAGACCATAATGAGGAAATACGACGTTATCCGGTGCTACATATTGCGGCAGTTAATCAGAAGCTCGTTCCTTGGAGCAAGCTAATCACACTGAGCACGACTCAGAGTCACATAATTGAGAGCGACGAATTTTGTAATTCCATAATGTCGTCCAAGCGGATGACGACGTGTTCGCAGCCTAGTCGCCGTTCAATCGCAGAGGCGCACGTTGAGCGCCTGTTCGGTGATCTCCCAGGCCTGTCGCTGGAGCACCGGGTTCAGCGCATGCTCAGCCGGCCTCACCTCGCGGCACTCCTTGAAGTAGCGCCCCGTTGTGTGCGCCAACTCCGGTGCCAGGCACAGGTGGATGCTGGTCTGCGCACCCTCCATGGGCGACTGCGTGCACGTAATAATAATAAAAGAGAAAGTATTCGCATCTTGAAAAAAATTACACCATCCCCCGCTAAAGGGAACTATAAGTGTAGATGAGAAAACGTGGGGAGTTAGGCGCTAAACACGCAGTGACTCACCGGTGTGACGGATCATCATGTGCGATGGGGGGGTTAGCGCCGCGGGGAGGGTTGCCCAGATGAGAGAGAGGAAAAGTGTAAGAAAGGAGAGCGGGAGGGGCGCGCATGCGCTGTAAGGCTGGCCACGCTGCACACCAAATTGAGCTCGACCATTGCCTTATTTATTAAGAGGCCTGACAAATGGCTCGTGTCCCTGCAGCGGTGTCATACTGACTTATGTTTTGAGATAGCGCCGCAAGGTGGCGCTCGCGACCGACACTATCACACGGTGTTTTTTTTTTTTACTTGTGGCCCCATGGGGCTCTGTCAGTCGAGAGTTATTCGAGATCTGTAACTATACTCGACTATTTCGGAGACTATGCAAAATGTCGAGTTGTTGCACCGTCCACCACAGGTGGCGCTAGCGACCTGACACTAATCGAAAAAGATAAGGGAAAGGGTGTGGCAGCTGTTTTTTTTCTCGTGCGGCAGGCATCTAATCTAGAAGGCATTGGCTCGACCATCACACTCTTCGCATCTAAAATCTGCTGGTGACCTTTCAGTTTAGGCGTCTGGTAGCAACGCTTCGTGCGCCCTGACGAATACTTGAGCTGTTTCGCTCGTTACCGAAGCGAATATCAGAAGCCGCGTACAGAAACTAAGCACGTAGTTACTATCTTCTCCGGCAGGTGTCACAACAATCCCCCCTACTCCAGAAATCTACTCTAGGGCGCTTTGACACGTACTTCCACGGCGTGAACATTGGGGTACCATAAATTATTATATGCTACGACAGGTAGCATATATAGACAGGGATAATGAACTAGCCACTCACAAGAAAACCGCTGTGTTCTTTTAGTGAAATCATTCAATTAGTTTTCATTAATTACACCGAGGCTTGATTGGATCGTATCTTAATTAGGTTAACTTTCCGATAACATATATGTATAAAATATAAGTCTTAACTTGAACCAGAACCACAAATTTCACACTAGTTCAATTTTTAAAACACATCTTCTGTATATCCGGTTAACCGGAAGTAGATCCTCGACCGGAAAAGCTTGAAAGAGGAAGAAGAGTGTCACCTGGTGCTCTATCCTACTCATAAATACAGTGGTGTGCGAAGTTTCTTGAAATGCCGGACGTCGAATCGAAAACAGCGATAAATTAGATTCAGCCTTCGAATCAAGCAGTCACTATTCGGAAATACGAATGCCTTTCGAATAGTTCACGAGTATTTCTAAATGCCGACTACTGCCGAACTCAAATTTGTTTGCAAAAGTATAGGCGATGATTTATTCCCTCGGTCATATAGCACAGCAATCAAACATGAAAGCTTACCTAGAGCAGCAGCTGACGCCATCTAGCTTAATGCTCAATCCGTACTTGTATGAAAGCGAAAGCGTTCGATGGCTCGTCAAACACAAAAGGTGACCTTCGGCGGCGTCGGCGTCAACACGAGTGATGCAAAAACCACAAAGTAATGGCGTCACCCTAAGACGACATAATGACGTCGTAGGTCATTAAACTTTATGACGTCACCATGCCACAGTAACGTGGAATCACACATGGTGACGTCATCACGTGAAGTCGTCACTTGGTGTAAGTTTGGCCGATCCTGAAGGCACTGCGTCACAACGTTGGGTGCAAGAAGGGATCAGAGGAGGGGCCTGGGTGATCGATAAATGCGATTGAGCCGAAAAGAAGATGGTTTTTGTCTTGTACATAGTCGTCATAGGTAAATGCATGCGAGACCTTTGAGGTCTCGCATGCACCTTTAAGTCGAGACCTTTGAGGTCTCGACTAGGATGGGAGCATACATTTTATAATAAACGACTATTTAGCATTCTGAAGCTAAGCATTCGACATCCAATTCGATTCGGACGTGGAATCGAATCGATTAACCTATAAAGAAGACTGGAATCGGCGGGCGCACCTTTCCGAGCAAGGGCACCACCACGTAACGTAGGAACTTGCCGAACAACGTGGTGGGACGCTCGCGGAAGAAGCGCGACTTGACGAGACCCGGGTGGAGCGCGTTGACGGTGACCCGCTCGCCGCGGAGCTTGTCGGCCAGCTCGCGGGCGAAGTACACGTTGTACAGCTTCGAGAGGCAGTACGCCCGGGAGTCCGAGTAGTGGTGCTCCAGGAACGGGTCGTCCAGGTCCAGCCGCGCCCACCCGTGCAGAATGGACGAGACGACGACGATGCGAGACGGCGCCGAGCGCTTTAGTAGGTCGAGCAGCAGACCGGTGAGCAGGGCGTGTCCCAGGTGGTTGCTCTGTATGGTCGTCTCCAGGTCGTCGTCGGTCAGCGTGCGCCGAGGGGGCGCCATGCGACCGGCGTTGTTGACGAGCAGGTCGAGCCGCGGCTCGCTGTCCAGGATGTCGTACGCCAGTCGCCGCACCGAGCCCAGCGAGGAGAGGTCGAGCTGCTTGAGTACGATGTCGCCGCCGCCGCTCGCCTCGATCATGGAGGCGAGCGCCTTTTGGCCCACCTGCATGCGCGCGCGTGTGCACCCGGCATCGCATATTGCGCATAGTTTGTGCACAATTTGTACGTGACAATGAGCTCAATGAGGTATACATTGATTTCACGCATTTATAGGCGTGAGCAGGCGGGTAGAAGGGGATAGGGGGCAGAGTTAACCCTACGCCCCTCTTAGTTGACAAGAGGGGGGGGGGGCTGCCCTCCTGCCGAGCACACGCCAGTGCACTAATTGATTAATTAATGCAATCATTCATCGAAACAGCGATTTCGGAGCGGTGGCTTGAGCGACTTGGTGTTCGGTGATAATAGCTAGAGTGTGGGTTGAGGTTGTTTGACTCCCCTCCCTTTGCGAAATTTTGTGATTTTGCATACATGCACACATATGAGTGCACGCACAGGCATACAAAAAAAGTAAGCGAACCCCCCCCCCCCCCCAAACCCCAAAAGATTCTGGTGACGCCCCTGGTTCATCATGAGTAAACATCGATAATTTTCTCTTTTTTGTACCCACATGTTTAGGTTCACAAGATAATAGGGGCAGGAGAGTTGCCCTTTCCCCTCTTCCTTTAACGCCGTTTTTGGTCTCGTCTGAAAACAAGACAGAATAAGGTAGACAACTCGCTCATTGGGTAGAGACCGAGTGAAGACACTATCGCCGTTGTTACCCGAGACGCAAGGCAAGGTGTGTGCGTGCATGTGCTCGATGCCCCTCAGACACCTTTGGCCAGTGCCCACCTCCATGTTGCGGCAGGTGAAGATGACTCGCGCGCCCCGAGTGGCGAGCGCCTTGGCCGTCTCGTAGCCGATGCCCGCGCTGCCACCGGTCACCAGTGCCGTCTTGCCCTCCAGTCGCGTGGGGCACTTGCATCGCTTGCTGGTCACCCGGCTGTAGAACCACGCGCCGAAAGTGAGCGCGAGAAGGACGATCGCGACGCGCACGGCTAACAGGGCGCTCTCCCAGGCGACCTGCAGAACCTGCGGCAGCGCCTCGTCGTCATCGCCGTCAGACATGGCGAATGCTTCACCGCTGCTTCCCACCGCTCAAAATTGTGATGATGATCATGCACCTTGTATGAATGGCACCTACCCACTCGGGGGCGGGGAATCATTTAATAGTCGGGTGGACCATACAGTCTGGATTTATTATTATTTTTAAATGCTAATAGAGGTTGCATATGCAGTTATAATGAAGCGTTAATTATGATGGATCCTAATGTTAGCTTACACAAAACTTTTCATGACCTCCCAATGACCAAAGTTCATTTTACGAGGATGACATAATTGATGTAGATGTCCCGCTTCCTCTTCTTCATTCTGCGTGCTGTCACGTGCTATTGGGTAGTTGTTTGAACAGCACAGCTGTGTAGCAGAATGGTTAATAGTAGTAGTCTCTTTATACCGTGACACACACCTAGACTGGGGGATTGGCTGAAAACCGGGTAGTTTCAAAAGAAAGTTCCTAAACTGAGGAAGGTTGTCAGCGCGAACCAGCACGTGCTCTTTTGATACTCTTCATCCTCTGCCTCGCACCCAGAACACGTGCGCCGATCTGTCCGGCGTGGAATGCATCAACTCTGTTGGGCAAGATAACGAGTACAGAGAGAACAAAAAACAGGTGTGACGAAATAATAATAATTGTGAAGGTTTAAAGGCCCCAAAACCATCATACGATTATGAGAGACGCCGTAGTGGAGTGAGTGAGTGAGTAAAAACTTTATTGAACATGTCCGGCCTTATTGAGCGGGGTGGGGCTACAAGCACCCTGGCCTAGGTGACGGCCTCGAGTCCTTGGACCCGGGCGGCATCCTGGGCTTGCCGGACGGCCCACAGTTGATCGGCAAGGTCGTGGCTGAGCAGAGTGTTAGGGATGGGAAGGAAGGTCGCTGATGGCATCCCACCGCTGCCAACCAGTTGTAGCGCGTCGCGGCGACCGCAGTCTGCGGGTAGCGGGGCCGATCGCCGTCGCTCCGTCGAGCCAAGGACCAGGGGAGAGCTTTGAGCAAACTTAACGGGTTTATTTACATCTTTACAGTGAGTTGTCAAGATGACAGAAGAGAAGAGAAGAACTAGTGGTTTCACAAACCACGAGCGTGGTGGTTGAACTTTACATAGTTCAGAGCGACGTCCAGCACTCTGCCGCGTCGTTTTATGCCCTGTCGGGCTCCTCCTCTCCGAGTCGACCACCAATCACGCACACACAGGTGAGGGGGGGGGGGGCGAGCATGCAAGGTCCACGTGAACACTGCACTTTGGTGGCGCCAGCAGGGCTCTTCCTCGTCGTGTGTGAGCCTTTAGTCGAGAGTGCCCACGATCCTGGCCGCATACTTCAAAGGGTCCGCCGATTTTGTTCGCTCAATTAGCGGGGCGATCCGCGGCAGCCGCCGCGGTCTCCCCCAGGAAAGGCCCGTTTACATTGACCCGACGAGGGCGCGTTGAGTCGAAATAAACTGGTTTTCTGGACTCACCCTCCCCATGTATAAGCGGACGCGTCGGGGCGGAGAGTCGTCGCGGCGAGTCCCGTCGACCCGGAGACAGGGGGTAGGTTCACCGAACTCGCCGCGCTCAGAAAGGGCATGTATAACCGGTCGCGCTGAGTTGACGGCTCGTGACCTCTCCCGCCCGTCGCGGTCTCCGCTTCCCCTGTCCCCATCACTCCGACGTTGCTCTTTCTCTGTCGGCCGGTACGCGCGCGCTAGGCACGATGACATCCTCACGGGCTCCACGCACCATGTGGACACATGATGAAATAACGACGTTGCTAGCTTTAGTCAATGAAAAAAAAAAACAGAGTGATTTGCTCGATAGCCAGCGGCAAAAAAAATAAGGACATATTCATGGACCTGGAAAGATGTTTGAAGGAACAGGGCCTGACGTGGACGTGGGAGCAAATAAGGACCTGTTGGAAGAATTTGAAAAAACGCTTACGTAAGCCGATAGAAATTTTACTCAAAATTGTATATTGCATTCGAATTGAAATTACAAGCCCTCAGATTAAAAATTCATCGTGTAAGGATCTCACCATCCATTCCAAAAGCACAGAAATCAGATTAGCCAAACAGGGTGAGCGTATGAGGCAAGAGGAACACGGTGCACTTAATTGTGGTGGAACTGTACACTTTGTTCCAACAATTGATGAGGGTCTTTAGTCATTTTCATTTAAAAACTGCTTATTGTTTTCAATTTAAAATTTTCAACGAGGTTCAGGGCGCCGCTTAATTCGTATTAGCGACAAGCCACAACTATTGCAAAAAATGACTCGCGTGTAGGGCTTCAAAGGATTTTCCACAGCATCAGGTACACAAATGAAAGGCGTTACAAGCCATGAATCACGGCGAATTCCTGGAGAGACCAGCTAGGGGTGAACAGGGGACGGTGCGTCAGGCTGCGGATACGCCTGCGGCGAGCGCTGTGCCGCAACAGAACCACTGCTGCCATCGCGTTGTGCAGTGTTAGCCAAGACACCAACACAACCATAAAGTACAGCTGGTGCAAACTGAGAAAAAATACCAAGACAGCCATCGCGGTGGCGGAGCGACAACTGCGTAAACAACCGCAGCCCACAGCGGCGAGAGCGCAGGCTTGGACGAGCGGAAACCGGTACCGAAAGACGGGCTTTCGGCTCGCCTCGACGCAAAACGTCGCTGCGATCACCGCTCACCTCAACTCGTCCGTGCGAGTTCATATAAACTCGGGCGCGTCGAGGTAAGCTGAACCCGCCACTCAACTCAGCCCGCCCCCGTCGCGTCCATGTACACGGGCCTGAAGACGCCGTCCCTGTTGTCCTCTTTGTGGCGTCGCGGCGTCTTGGCGACACTACGTCTCGTACTCCGGGACAATGCCTGGCGGGCATAGGCAGTCAGCCGGTCGGCTACTTGACGATGGATTAAACAAGCGCCGATCTTTTGAGAGGTGCCCGGTTCGTGGAATCCTCTGGGGAGAGCCCTTTGACCAGCGCCGTCGTCGTCTGCCGGTTAATGCGCTAACGATGCGTGGCTGGCCCAGGCGGGAGATAGAGCGGCCGCTCCAAAACCCTCTTTGGCGACATTCCACCCCGTTGGCGCCGCTGTCAATCAGTAGGCACCGTCTCGTGGGGCCGGCCTCTGTTGCTTCCTCCGTCCAGCCGTGGCAAGACTGTCCTTTCGGCACTAATCCGGCGTGGCGAATGACCCGCTGGGTCAAGGCATAGCTTGATCGCTACAAGAGCCGCCTCCCATCGCCCTCGCGGTTCGAGACTGCCATGTCTACCGGGTTCGTAGGGGACTGCTGCGCGTTACCGGTACACTTCCACAGCATGTGCTGCAGCGTCGCTCTGGCTCCGCACGCCTTACACGCGTCGGACGTATAAATGCCTGGGTAGCGGAGGCGAAGGATCGCTGGATTCGGGTACGTGTGTGTCTGTTGTTGTCTCCAGGCAACCTGCTGTTTCTTGTTTAGTTTGGCGTGGGGTGGTGGATATTTGCATCTGTTCAGTCTGTAGTGTTGCGTGATGTCTCTGAAAGTGGTCATGCGATCCCCCCACGTCCATTCCCGCATCGCTGTCGAAGTGTGCGAGACATCGGGACTGTCGGCAGGCGTCGCAGCTCGGCGTGTAAGTCCTCGAGCCGCGGCGTGGGCAGTCGCGTTGCCCGCAAGCGGAGGGTCCGTGTGGGCGGGGTGCATACGAGGAAACTGTCGTTTTTGCGGCAGATGTTGCGTTCGTGAATTTGGAGAATGCGGGCCGCTTCGCGGGAGATCCGGCCGCTGGCGTAGTTGCGTATCGCCGCCTGCGAGTCGCCTATTATCACCTCGGCGTCCGTGGTGGCTATCGCGAGGGCTATGGCAGCTTCTTCGGCCGCCTCCGTCTCTTCCGTGCCTATCGTCGCACTCATGACGCAAGTTCCTACATGATCCGTGATCGCGACCGCGAAGGCTCCGGAAATTTAGACCACCTGGGGTTCTTTAACGTGCACCTGAATCTAAGCACAGGCGCCTCATGCACGAGATGTGACGAAAGAGAAACGGAGTGAAGAAAGAAAGAAAATGATGCAAGGGCAGAGGAATAAATAGATGGAGAAAGAAAGTGATTGAAGAAACAGACAAAAGAAAGGGATGGAAAATACAAAGAACAAGACAGAAAGATATAATTTTAAAAAATCACAGCATATAAACGGAGTGAATGGTGGGGAGTGGAACGAAGCGCCCGTAAGTCCGTCCGCGCTCCCATTCGCCCGTCCGAGCGTTCGTGCGCCCGTCCGTTCACCTCTGCGTCCATCCGTGCGCCTGTCCATGCGTCAATCCGTCCGTGCATCTGTTTGTCCGTCTGTCTGTCCATTCGCGCGTCCGTTCATTCGTTCGTCTGCTTGCCTGTCTGTTCGTCCGTGCGTGCGTCCATCCGTCCGTTCATCTAGTGAACACTCCAAGTACCACCATCTCGCATCTTTTTTATCATATATTCATCATATAGAAGTACCGCCATCCAGCGTACATTCCAAGGACTAAACGAGAGGTGGCTACGCACTAATACGACGACTACTACTACTACAAACGTCGCGTACGCACGACCCCCTGCTTAAGAAGCTTCACCCTTGAAAACGTGGTCGATCCCCCTTTTAGGAATCGTATAACACGAAAATGAAACGTGTCCTCGCCGCGGTAGCTTAGCATTCCATTTTGCATTGTTAGGGGCGAAGGAATGAATTCTGCTGTATAACAAATTACAATTTCGTGCGAAGAATCAGAAGCAGCTCGAAACATGCAACGCACACTTCAAGCAGAGAGCACGCAGGAAAGGAGCACACACGGGGCGAGTGCGAACAAACAACTGCAACAGCTCGACACTTAAAGCATGCTGCTCAAACAGAGAGGAAGACGTACGAAACTATCGCACAAGTATACACCTGGACGAACAACCGTCACAATTTTAGAGCGAAACTCCTCTTAGTCTAACCTTGTCACGCGTCACGCGTAACCGAGAGAAGAAGAGACGAGAAAGATAAGAAGGCAAAAGAAATGAATGACCCTTTTTCATCTCA